CAATACAGCACCCCTTTTCCTTAAACTGAGAGTGTTTTCCTATTCATGTGTCTAAATTTAATAATGTCTCCTACTTTGGGAGAAAATATAATGTTCTGCAGGGTTATTTGCATACAAAATCTGCCGAAAATTTCAGTAACATATTATTTTTTTTAAGATTTTTTTCTTTGCTTTTTTTTTTAAAGATTTCTTTATTTATTTATACAAGCACTGGGTACAGTCAGAAGCGCGGGAGGGTGAGAGAATTCACCAGAGCCAGAGCGGGGAACAGAACAGGCAGAAGGACCGAAGTACACTGCTGAGGGGAGCAGAGGGCGGCAGGAGAGGTCTGCGCGCCATGTGGGACCCTCCTCTGGTGGAGCAGCCGGGGATCGAACCGGCCTGCAGAGGCTGCGGGCAGCTTCGCAACCCAGCGCTCAACCGCTGCGCCACTGGGGAGGCCCAACATATTATTTTTTAATATATAATTTATTTACTTATATATATATTTTACATCATTGTTCATTTTTGTACAACGTTTGCTTTCTCCTCTCAGATGTATTCCCCGTATAATTCCCACTGCCCATTCTCTTTGGACCTCAAAGATTTCTCTCTGACATTTCAAACATTGGGACCTGATGTGATATTTTTCAGCAAGTGAGCTGAGCCTCTTAAAAACCTGCAACCATTTTTTCCAGTCTTTTTACTAAAAACCAAAGGAATTATTAAGATGTCAGGTCAATCACCCCAGAGGTGACAGTGACCCCAGCAAAAGAAAGAGCTCCCAGGTTGAGAAGCACAAACTAATTAATATAGTGACGCTCACCCCCACCTCTTGCCAGTATTTTCTTCTTCTTCCCGTCGTGGTGTTCCCAGTCTCAAGTCAGCCTGCCCCTCTGCACACTTGCTCTCCTCCCAACACCCCCCAACAGTACAACAGCCAGGAAAACACTTGTGCACATACAACGCTGGCACGTGCGTCTGCATTTGTCCAATGTCAGTCGGTGACAACCCTTTAGTGGGTCATTAAGTCATCTTGGTGACTCCCAACCAATGTGTATTTTTCTTAAGTGGAATGAAATGGAAACAATGACCAGAATAATAATGGAGCAGCTCCTATACTAGGCATATGTTTTTTTATGATGTTTTTATCTGTCAAATAAATTTCTTCTTGTGGGTTAAAGTAAAACAAGTTTGAAAGCCTCATGAAAGATCAGGGAGACAATAATGGCCAAGAGGAAGGGTCTAGCAGCAGACTTACCAGAGCCTGATTCCTGGTCCTGCCATTGATGCTTGATGTGCGTGGCAATCTTGGATATGCTGCTTAGCCTGGACCTGACTCTGCAGCTGGGATATAGGAGGCTACACCGCATGGTGCCTGACCTCTAATGAGCACCCTTTAAGAAGTCTTTGAGGAACAAGCAACTCTGGAGGGCCTCAGGGTAAACATACTGCCCTAGGCCTCAGGCCTCACCTCTGTAAGGAGGATTTGCAGATCCCATTTAGAAAGCACCTCCCTTGACCTCCAAGCATAGTGTTTTGTTCTTAAACACCAGTGCTGGTGGGGAGGGGTGAACAATGATACCAACGGTAGGAACCAAACATTCCTGAATGTTGGGCCAAAAACCAGAGAACTTTTTTATCTGAAACCAGAGTTCAGCCTGGGGAAACCCAGTTTTCTGAATCTGCTGCTCAGAAACAGCACTGGAACATGGGCCCAGCCGAGGGGCCAACATGGAAGCACCCAGAACTGCTTCTGCTTGCAGAAGAAATGATAGACAGAAGGTGGGGCTAAGAGAGTGTCCCAGGCCGGGTCTCTTTCCTGGGGTCAGTCTGGCCCAAGGACAGGGCTCACCAAACCCACCTGCCGAATGTTTGCCCAGGGCTGGCTTCCAGACCAAGGAGTTCAGGCAGGGGCTGAGGAGGAAAGGACCAAGAGTTCCTCCATGTCCCAGTGCACCCCATGATTTGCAGGGAGCTCATCTCCCACCCAGGTTGGCCTGTGTCTCCACAGGGCAGCCAATCAGCAGCATAAGCTTCAAGGATGTGGCTAACAGGACTGAATGGCAACCTTGTCGTCATCAGGGAAAGGTGAGGTTAGGCCGAAATGAGACAGCACCCCCAAATGGGAAAACAGAGACACAGCAGGGGCTGGGGAGAAAAACTGCAATGCAGGCAAGAAAAGGGAGGGAAGCAGGGACAGGAAGAAAGACAAAGAAACTCGGAAAACAGCAGACACAAGGGACAATGAGGAAGTGTATTCAAAGCAAACCAAAAAACAAAAAGGGAGAGCAAAAGAGAAAAGAAGTCGTGGAAGAAACCACGGGGACAGAAGACTGTCCCGACTCCAGGCTCTGCCCACTGATTCTGCGGCCAGAGCCCAGGCACTCGGGGTTAGAGAAAGAAAGGAGCTCCAGGAATTTCCCATGCCCTTCTCCTCCTCACAAGCCTGGTCCTCAGACCCAACATCCATCAGGAAAACTCTGGACACGGGCTCAGGAGCCTTTGCAGAAAAGGGCTCCAGAAGCTGAGATTCCAGTGGGCTGGGGACACATTCACCCCATCCTGCCTTCCACTGCCACATGCAAGCCTGGGTGTTCCCAGCCCAGGCCTCAGCAGCCAAGCTACTCTGCCCACCAGACACTGTGTCCTGTCCCTCCATGAGCCCCTCCTCATCTCCGAGTGCTCCACCCTGCATCGGGCACATCCCAGGGCATTCTGGAATTTTTCTATGGCCTGTGGGGCTCCGCTAAATTCTTCCAGCACCTCAGCAAACTCAGGGAACAGAGCCCAGGACTCTACCATCACCTGGCCTGCCTCAGCCCAGGGCCTTGGCTTATCTACAAAGGGAGTCCCATTCTGCCTCTATCTTCTAGGGCATCCCCCTTCCCTCGGGGGCCACGAGAGGGTTTGGCCTGGCACTCACTCCCTCACAGGGTCACTCAAGCTGCCTGGAACTCAAGAGCACCTGGAACTGGAAGAGGTACAGCAAGTGCTTGGAGAACAGGGCCCAGCACAGCCCTGGGTCATCTGGAAGGGGCTCGGGCCTGGGACCAGAGGGCAGGTGACCACCAACTCCTGCCACTTCTCACCCAAAGGGTGATGATTTAAATGCCAATCTGTGTTCTTCCAGCTCAAGTTTGTCACCATTTCTGAAGACATGTTCCTACAGCACACAGGCCGGGATGGCTCCAAAGTAAGAGGACAGAAGAGGGAACTTCCCAGTGCAAAAAATGCCAGGCTCAGAGCGTGAGGCCTGTAGGCATCCTCAGCTCTATGGGGAGGAGCAAAGGGTCTCAAGGGGCAGAATTCTGTGCTGAAACGCCAGTATCCGGGGCCCAGGCAGAGAGCAGAAAGGGAGGAGAGGGAAGCCAGCACATGGCCAGGCAGGGCCAGAGAAAGATGAAGCACAGATTTGCGAAGGCTTCTGCTGGGCCTCAGGCCTACAGCCTTGGCCACAGTGACTCTGCGCCAGGCCACACCTACCGGCTGCCATGTTCACTCCCAAAAACCTGAAATATTCCCTTAAAATGGAGACAGAGGATGTGGAAATCAGTGCAGCCAGCCAGCCTGGTTCACGTGGCCATGAAAGGCAGCCTAGGCCTCTCCCTGCTCCTGGAGCTGCCTTTGAGGCAGAAATACAGAGCATCTTTGGGGACTGCTGCTCTGACTGTGGGAAGGTGTGCAAAATGCTCAAAATACAATAAAAGCAAGGGCCAGGACCCCCAGGGGTCTCACTCCCTGTTTCTTTGGACTCTCTGTGGGGTGCCTGTGTGCAGGATTTCTGCAGAAGATAGTCCATTTTGTTAAGCCTTTGAATATTCAAATTGAAAGTATCGCGCAATCATTGATTGTCAAATCATGGGTTTCTAGAGGTTTTAAATACTTGGCATGAGGGGGGAAAATCTCAAACCTATACCCGAAGGTATAAAACATTAATTCTGTTTGTCTCCTGCTCCAGGAACCTGGGTGCAGCTGGATGCTTTGTGAAACTTTAAAAATGTTGCATCTCTGCTTCTCTCCTTGCACAGGAGCCTCCCAGGCGCTGAGTCTCTAAAGCTGCAGCATCCAGCCACCGACCCAGCTTCTGCTGACCACGATGTCTGGTAATTCGGCTGCTTCTCCCTGGGGTAGGGTCACACGGGCCTGGGGCTTTTTGATCCGGGGTGTATTTCCACCGCTTTGCCTGCACAGAACAGAGAGGCACAAAGTCAGTGCATGCAAGAATGAGCCGGGAATCTCGAGAGCGCACAGGTGCTGCTGTGGCCTCTCTCGCTCGGTGCCCGCGAGCCAGGGCAGAGGCCCAGAGGCCGAGCTGGCCGCTGCGGACGTCCGCGTCCCCGGGTCCCCCACCCGCGCGCTTTGCCAGAGCTGCGCCCCTGGAACTTGGCCGCGCGGGCTCTGCGCGCCCCGAAGCGGCAGCGGGGGGAGCTAGAGACTCGCCGTGAGGCCGGGACGCGAGCAGCGCGCGCCGGCCGTGCAGAGCTGAGCTGCGGCGGTCCCTGCACCGACCCCGAACCCCTCCTGCTGCCCGCAGAGCCGGCGAGGGAGTTGAGGGGAAAGACTGGACCGCGGAGAGGGCGCAGCGCCCAGGCCCTGCGAGCCGGCCGCGGGGTTTCTGCATCTGCGCTGCAGCGCTGCGCGCGCTCGCCTTCCCTGGGGGGCCCTCGCTCCCCGGACTTAGTCGGGGAGGCTGGAAGAGGTGGCGATGGGGGTGGCCAGTTTGAGGGGGGTCCCTGCTGGCCGGCTGCGGTCTCCGCGGCGACCAGGCGAGGCGCTGGCGACCTGCCACTGCCACCCGCAGCCCGCGCGCCGCGCGCGGCCGCCCCCGCCAGGCCCCTCCCCGCGCCGCCCGCGGCGCGCGCTCCAGGGTCGAGGCCGGGGCCGGAGGGGCGCTGGCTCCCGGGGCACCCCCGACCGCGAGAGGCGCCCGATGGGCCCGGCCTCCCGGCCCGCCCTACTCACTGCGGCTCAGCGGGGCCCTCCTGGGGCCGCAGCTGCCCGTCTCCCCGCGCGCCCGGACTCCCCGGCCGCCGACCCCTCGGGGCGCTGGGCCGCTCGCGCCGGCCGCTGCGTCCGACTCGGCCCCGCCAGGTCCGGGGCCGGCACCCCACGAGCGCGGCCTCCCAGCGGCGGCTCAGCCGGCCGGCGCCCGGGCAGGCTTTGCTCGGAGCTGGCACCGCGCGGACTCCGCCGGGAGCCTCCGTGCGCCGCCGAGAAATGCCTGCACCGAGGGGGAGGGGGAGAGAGGAGAAGGGGAAAGCCGAGCGGGGCCGAAGGAGGGGGAGGGAAAGATGGAGAGCAGGAAGGGCAGGAAAGGCTGAGAAGAGGCAGGCGAGGGAGCCACAGACCCGGCAGAAGACAAGGAAAGACAGGAGTGGGGTCGGGGGAGGTCCCCCTGGCCGGGCCTCTTTCCTGGGCTCGGTGTAGCAGCCCCTCCCTGGCCTAAGGACAGGACTCGCCAACCCCCGCCTGGCCATTGCTTGCCCCAGGTTGGCCTACAGACCAAGGGCATGTAGAGGTCAGAGCGTCCCCAGAAGCCACAACTGGCTTGAGCTGATGAGTTTCTGTACCTGTGAGAGCATCAGTGTGGGGGGGTGGGGGTGGCTGGGGGGCCGCTTGTCCGGTGATAATCAGCTAGGTGAGCTGCTACCAAGGAGAGAGAGCTCCTCCTCCCCGGGTCCATAAGGAGACCCTCTCCCTAGACCAGCAGATCAGGCCTACTCCCTGGCTGGCAGCTTGTTTCACTAAGTTGGTTAACCACCAGCACCAACTCCTGCAAACCACTAGCTGGTCTCCACATTCCTGAAGAGAAAACCTGTGTGTTGATGGTCCAGGAATAGGGCCCATCCTGGAGCAGCTTACCCCACAGATTTCCATGGGTTCCTTACTACTAGGGGCCCTGAACCACACCCAGCCTCTCTCCATCCTTTTAAGTATGACAAATTTGGGGTTCTTTCCCATGTGTCTCTTAGCATTCTCTTTGCATTCTTCAAACCTAGACCCCTGGCCTCAAGTGCCATGTCTATAAAGAGGACCCTTACACCCCAGCCTGACACCCAAACCTTCACTTGACCACTGACTCTGTTGCCTTTCCCCAGAAAAACCGAAGGTGTATCAAGGCGTTCGTGTGAAGATCACGGTGAAGGAGCTGCTGCAGCAGAGAAGGGCACACCAAGCAGCCTCAGGGGTAACCGTAAGCATGAACCTTTTCCTACTCCCAATTCCTGTTAGGCCTCGTTCAGCCCTGGGGCTGGCAAGGTTTGAACAGCACCTTAGGTCCTAGTCACTGTCCCCAATGGGCCTACTTCAGCTGTTCTTATAACTTCTGTGTCTACTTCATGCCGGTTCACCAAGGAAGCCACAAAAAGCAGTTGGGACACATTATGGGGCTCAGGACTTGGAGGAACCTGTCCCTCACTGATTCGAGTTATGTATAAAGGGCCCCTTGGGCCTGTTGGGGAGAGTGCAGCTGGCTGGTGAGTGAATTGTTATTCTGGGAGACAGGACATGTGTATCCTCACACACTCAAAGAAAATGTCTCTGAGCAATTCACTTCATTTTCAGAAACCCTTCAAGCAGAGAATCCCTGTGGAACCATCTCCCCACCCTTTATTTGTAAATTCAGCCATATATTTGTAAATCAACAGTCACTGAACGTTTCCAGCAGAAAAGGGCCTTCTCTGCAGAGGAGACATCTTGGAATATAGAATAATGTCTTTACGGAGTAATGAAGCCCTAAGCATTTCCACGTTGTCACAAGCTTGATCTGGGTGGTCCCAGGACTCACAGTATACATTCTAGAGCAGACAGTACTGCCCAGGGTGCTTGGGGCAGCAACAGCACCAAATAAACTACATGTAAGGTTATGCTCTAGGAGAGGGCAATGATTGGCTGAAAGCCCTGTACCCTTGCTTGTGCCCAGGTATGTGTGGGATCTGACAGCGGGGCCAGTGTCAGCACTGGTCCTATCCCCAGCTACTTGACAACTGCTCCACAACAGTTTCAGTGCCTGGTGCTGTTGGTGTGCAATGCAGGACTTCCCAAGCCAGGCCTGTGGGAAGAGGTACATGATGTAGGAGGGGTAAGCCCAGGTTCGGGAATGAGTGTGTATCCTGGAGCATATTATTCAGTCTCTCTTGCCTCTGTTTCCTCATCTTTAAACAGTAGCAAATAGGATTTTGCAGGTGAAGCATTTAGGAGAGTGCTTTGTATGTAGTAAGTGCTCGGTAACTATTAGCTATCATTTTTATTATTGGTGAAAAGCAACTAAAGTAAAATTACAACCGAGGACTGAAAGCCAGCTATCCAGTAATGCTCATTCACACCCTTTGCTCAAAGTTGAAAATTCATGTGTGAGCTTGCTGTGATGACTCATTGGCCGAAGAAGTTAGGCCCTTCCTATGCAGAATGTCAGCTAACACATGAAGACTCACTTCCATTTGTAGAAAGTTTTACAATGGTTAATTTAAAGCAATTTTGCATACTCATAATTTCATTTAGTTCTTATAGCAACTATGAGAATAGTTCAGACATCTGTTTGCCTCTGTACAGGAGACAGAAGTTCAGAGTTTTTAGCTGTTCCTAATGGTGGAGGAGTTAAATTAAAAGTAAGATCAAGGTCTTCTTACTCTTAATATAAAAAAAAAAATACTACCCACTTAATTGGCTTCCTAAATATTCACCTTTCTGGAGATCAAGCTGTGCTGAGCAGGAGTCTGGTAGCCTCAGTCATCTATCCCTTCAGTTCAGAGATGGTTACTTTTAAAGAAATAGAAGAAGGAACAAGGGAATTGGGAAAGAATAAACAATAACAAAAAAAATCATCAAGATGTTCATAACAAAATGTAATCTTTCAGTAAGGCGCTTTGGTACATGGTAGAGTCTGCTTCAGCTGCACCTGGAGAAGTCTCATGTGGACATGGCGATGCTCTGACTATTGTCCTCTTATAGGTTGGTTTGGCCACTGGTCCCCTGCTGAGCTAGCTGCAGGAACGAAAGCAAGGGTAAAGCATTTCACTTGTACCTGTCCTGTGGAGCAGTTTGACTAGCAAAGCCACACTTCTGAGCCAGTGCCTTGTAGAGAGGTACCTGCGGAACAAAGTGTGTGCTCCTTTGCTTCCTGGAAGATGCTCCTGCACCCATGCCCTCACAGGCACATCCGGGTCAACACAGATGATCTAATTATGAGAGCCAGATGGAAAATCCCTCACTAGGACCCGTCAGAAGAACTTGGGATTCTAGAAAGCTGTGAGAGTGTACTTGATCAGCAAGAATGGCAGATGCCAGACATATAATTGTCTGTCTGCTCCTTAGTACAGACCCTTGAAATTGATTAGAGATGATCCCCTATTTGTTCAGTTGTTGAAGGACACCTCTGGAAGCTTTAAGTCAAGGACAGAATTATTTTTATCAAATATACAAAGGGGGGAGAAATGTATCTTACTTTGCTATAAACTCAGAGTAGTCATCACAATTTGAAATTTTAAGAAGGCAATTGTGAATGGAAGTCACAGATTAAGACAAATACGTTTCAAACAGTGCCAACAGAAACGTGTGCATGCCAGACTTGTAAATCTGATTTTAAAAGCTGTTTATTTCATCCAGATGAATTTGCAAACATCACACACACCTTTTACCTTTAGAATGAAGTGAAACTTGAGTTAGCACTTATCAGAAGATATAATTTACCCTTTACTTTTTACATTTTTTGAAACACCCTTGATGTGTTTTTATGAATTGTAGATTGTGGATTTTGGTGCTGACTGAAATCTAAGAGAGAGAGGTGCCTTTCTTTGTATTCCTGGAGCGAAGCAGAAAGTGAACTCATGACTAGAAAGATAATATCAAGTAGGATATTGTAAACATACCTGGGGGAGATAACGTGGGGAGGCAGACAAACAGACCCTTCCGGGGGTGGACTGGGGTTCAGGAGCGCTCCACAATGAAGCAGATTTTTTAAAGCCCACTCCTTCCAAGTCCTTTAGCTCAAGCTGCAGTCAAATATTTGCGTAAAGAGCTGGTGAAGGATTCCAGCTTCCTGGTTCATGACTTTACAGCATGGATCGTTTTCAAAATGAACACCGCCTCCTTTTTCAGCAGTGGCTGACTGTTTCAGCAGTGGCTGACTGCAGCCTCACAGGGTCTCCTTGGAAGGGAGTAAATAAGTATCTCCTGTAACCCAAGAGAGAGGTGTGGTGAGCTGGACATCCCAGCACACAATCACAGAGCAATGTGGGTCCCTTTAAACTTTAAAGCCTCCGCCTGAAACAAACAGAAAAAAACCTAAATTACTCTATAATACCATTATCAATTCAACTGGAAGATGTAGGCTGCCTGCCTAATAAAAAGGAGCAGTCTCATAAACGTCAGTATTTAAATAGAGTAGTAAGAAAAGCAACTTCCAGAAAAAAAAAAAAAGCATACAAAGAGCTGATATATTTCCTGAGCATGAGCTGGACTGTGCATCGTCCCAACTCATGACAGCTTTAAAAAGATATTTTCTATTTCAGTGTTTCATAGCTAGTAGGAACATGCAAGTGGGTATGTTTTTGCTTCCCAGGATTAGCAAATTAGGAATTGTGTCCTTTTGGGAAAACAAATTCCTAAAATTAAGCTGCCAGGTGGTACATTGACAATGTTGAGAAAATGACTGATGACATCGTTGGTAGCTGGGGTTAAATAAATGTTAGCCTTTTTAATTTTAAATAGTTTACTCAAAAGCTTTTTTACTGAGTTCTCTTGAACTGTTAGCTTCCTATAATATACAAATCATTTAAATTCATTTTTATCAAAATCAAACATCTTTAATATGTAAGTGGGAGAATCAGATATTCTAATAGCAAAAAAACTCCCCAAACAACACAAAGGCTGACTCTAAATAACACACAAATGGGTTGTAATTTAATGACAGCAATTTTTGCTTACCTTAGAGCAGAAGTCCACCAGTTTCTAATAAAATGCCTTAGCTTTCCCTTTATAAACCTGTGTTTCACTTTGTCTCACAGTCATGTTCTTCCTTGGCAGCTGTCCGGAGGCAGCAGCGTCCACCATGCAGACCCAGTCACACCATCCTCTGCAGGTCAGTCCAGCAGCACTACAGTTCCCTCAAAACTCTCAAAAGTTCATCTCGAAAGTCTTTCAGTGCTTGATTCAGGGGTTAAGAGAGGCGCCACCATTTAATAGGAATCCAACCAATCAGAAGGTGTAAAAAGCAGTGAATCCAGATGCAAGCCCAGCAGGAAACAAGGGCAATTTCTGTCCTCATTTCTGAACCGTCTATCCTCTGCTGTTCCAAGAGTTTGTTCCTCACATTTCGTCCAATTCCTTGTCTCCAAGTAACCAACTTGACTGCATGATCAGAATTGTTTTCTGACACCTATCTGTCTTACTGTGCCATTGCACGGTACACAGGCCGCCGAGGCCCCCGTTCCTGTAATTTCTAGCCGGCAGGGGCTTCTCTCCTCTTTTCTCTCTTCCCAGAAAGCCGTTCCAACAAGTGTGAGTTTTCTCAGCCCATTATGAATAACTATTACATAAACAGTCCTGCCTGTGCCACTCCACAGTAAGAGTTTAAGGAGGTCATCCATAAGGAAACCGGTGCTTGGGGTAGCGCCCCTCTGAAGTGTCATTTTCACTTAATCTTAAAGGAATCTGGAGACTTGAGAAATTCCAGCATTCTGACCTGCCTCGGATGGACACACGTTAAGCCTGAGTTCCTTGAGCATTGAAGGATAATAATCAGCAGTTGGACCTATTCATACTAAATTGAAAAGGGAGTCATGTTTTCAGAATCATTCTTGTTTGGTATTTAACCACTTAGTTTAATTCCGTTATCATGTTAACATATTCACTAAGGCAGCTTTGCTTTTGTAATTTGAAACAAGTAGTACTTGATAGATACTCTACCTTGCTGTTTCCCATTTTTAAAATGTGCATTCCATTTGTAGCATTCCTCAGAAGTTGCCAAGTAAGTGTGAAAAGTGTTAGGAAAGCAAGAACCCCAGATCCAAAGAATTCTTTCCCATGGCATCAGAAATTTTCCTCAAGCTTTTAACAACTCTGCCAGCCACTTCTGAGCTGCAGGGAGAGGATGAATGTTTACCTGAGCTGCAGGGAGAGGATGAATGTTGAGGCTTAGAGTCCAAAAAAGTCGCAGATCGAGCCATTATTTGACTGTGACAGCTGGACACAGGCCGGCTCACCTCTTATTTTTGCCTTAGCCCCACTTACAGCCAATCTCTAAGTTATTAACCAGATTCATTTCACTGCGACTTGAATTAGCTACAGCAACTAAAGAAATCAAGATTCCCCACCTGTTTACTTTTCTGGACCAAGTACTTACTGCTCCCAAGGCAGCTCCCCTCCCCCCTAGACACAGTAAATAATCAGAAGATAGACTAGAAAGCCATTCAAATCCATAGGCACAATTTTTAAAACAAAAATCTTTTTCCTTTCTCTTTTAGGGCTGTATTTTGAACATGAACCGATTTCTTCCACACCCAATTATTTTCAACCCCGAGAGTTTCCTAGCTGTGTTTCCTGTGAAGAAAACCCAAGCTACCTCGAGCAGATCTTGGATTCCTGCCTACAGACGGAGACACACCTGGACCCTTTGCTAAATTCCATGCAAAGCTCTGCACACTACTTCCCCGGCAGCTGCCAGGATGCCCCTTTTTGCTTCAACCAGAGCCTGGTAAATGCTCTCAGTTCCTTACAAAGCTTGATTATTGCTCACCACGCATTAGGGATGCTTTGTCAGAGGGTTTGCATCATCTCAAAAATGCCATCAGCAAGGAAATCATCTGAGGAAACAAGCAGAGAACCATTTCAAATGTAGTGCAGATAGAAAGAACCACATGGGTAAGCCCAGGTAAGCTGGTGTGTGGCAATAAAAAGAGGTTGTTGCTGGCAATATTCATTTACTGGGTTTTAAACTGTAAAGTTAAGACCTCTACCGATTGGGAATTACTGATATAAGCAATGGCTTTGGGATTTCTGAGTTCTTAAAAATGGAAGAAGGCTGCTTCTAAACAGAACAGATGTCATTCTGACATGAGGTTTTTGTTTTATTTAGTTACTAACTCAGCTCTACAAACTGGTTGTTTTGCTCTGCACAAGAACTCACTGGATCTGAGGTGGTTCCTAAAAAATTAAGCCCTAATACTTGAAAGAATTTGAAGTGCCTGGTCTTGATGGACCTCAAATGTTTGAAAGTATGTTGTTTAAAATGGAGTAAGGTTCCATCGGCAGGTACCAGTTGCTTAGATGCCTTTTAGGTACTCATGTCATTGTTTAAATCCTTTGAAAATAAGCTCATAAAAATAAGACACAAATACTTTTTTTCTTTGGGTTAGTCAAAAGCCTGTGTGGGTATCAGACTGAGTTATAAGGCCATGGGAAATTAATCCCACAGAACATGCAGGGCCCCATCATCCAGCTCCCCGCCAAGTTAGGCTTTCTCAGGGACATCTTTAGACCTGCTTCAGACAAAGCAGAGGGCACGTCTCTCCTCAGGGGGGCAAGACTTCAGTGATAGTAAGAGTGGTTTCCCCAACACCAGATCATTCAAGATCCCCATTCTATCTCAGTATGTTCACCTTATTCTCCACGACCAAGGTGCCACCTGCAGCTTAACTGTGGCACCCAACAGGATCTGAAGTACAGGTGACTTAAAGCACAATGGGATTTTGTGGTTTAAGAACAAAGCATCCTCTAAAGTATGGTTATAACAAAGGAAGCCAGTGAAGCAAAGCAATTTATTGTTGGGAAAGAAATAGGTAAATATAGAATGTGGTATCATGGAATCATGCAGTCAGCAAATAAAATTACTTCTGCAGACTTGGGCTGGGTTGGGTGTTTTGTTGTATAGGTTTTTTATTGGTTTTTTTTTTTTAACCCATAATGTTCTCAGTGAGTTAATAAATCTACTCCATTCTTTTAATTCTGTAAGTTATAAAGCTCTTTGTTCCTTGGTGTTTCTGTCTCTAGACCCCAGCATCGCCTTCAGATTCCTCCACTCTCTCTGGCTCCTTAGACTGCAGCTACTCACCGGCTCAGCTACCCTCCTGTGCTCCTGAGAATTACAACTGTCCTCCTTCTCTGGACACCAGAAACTGTGGCTATGCCTCAGAAGACTACCCTTACACACCTTGGCCTTCGCACGCCCAGTATGACTGCTTCCCCTCTGGCACCACCTCCATCTGCTGCTGCACGTCCTATGAGGCCGACCACCTGGACAGCACACGGCTGTCGGAGTGTTTCCCCTACCCCGGCACAGACTGTGTGGGCTTTGCTCCCTCAGCAGCGTCCGCCAGTGATTTTTACACAAGGGAAACAAACTGTGACATCTGCTATAGTTAGTAGAAATCACGTTACTTGAAACATGGCATGCGTGTATCTATTTTTCTACACACCCAATGACAGCACACAAAACACAACCTGTTAACAGAACACCACGTTCACAGTGACACATCACCATTTTCAATTTTCTGAACCCCATTTAGGCGTGAATATGAAATCCTCAGACCCCATCATAATGCCACCCTATTTTGTATGCTTACAGTTAACATTTTTGTAGGAATAATTCCATTGTTTTACTTTTCTATGTAACGAACAAATTCTAATTTTTTTAACTAATAAATAATTTTGTATCACTAAATCTTGGCTCATATTTCTTTTTTCTTTTTTTTTCCAAAAGTAACTTCCAATTGTTTGAATATTATCAGTTAATTCTGGAAATCAGGAATGACTCTTCGGTATTTAATCTCAATGACGAATTATGAATTTAAAATGATTTTCATGTGGTAAGAGGTCTCTTGGGGATAGAGAGCAGAACCAGCTGCAATGGCAGAACAAGACCAGCCAGACTCACCTCTAGATGAGGAGGTATGTGTTGAGGGAGCCCTAAGAGAAAGACATTTAAGGATCACTAGGTCCTTATATCTACCATCAGTCAATGAAATGGCCATAGGGCCAAAAAGGCACATCTTTACTACAGTGAGATAACCTGCTGCTAATTCTCTTCCATTTCCAATGTTCTGTTTCATAAACTTTCTAGGCAAATATTTGATTTTTTTTTTCTTTTGCCAAAAATGCATGGCAGTGTCTAGAATTCGTTGCTGCCTTACATTTCTAAATTTCTGTGTTAGGTTCTTAAATACATATCACTTGGGTTTACTAATTGATTTACACATTTGACTGTGGTGTTTGCAACTAAATGTCAGTGCTTACTTCCTCTGATTAATTGAATCAATGCAACTGTCTGTTAAGATGAAGAGGAGTCACCTAGGCAACCTGTGCTCAATGATACTGTGAAACCCTGTTTGCTGAAGGCACTAAGGCCTCAACTTAATCCAGCAGTGATGTTGGGGGGCATTTCCCATATCCCAAGCTTCAGCACCAAGGCAGTAGTGCCAGAAAGTGACCAGGGATGCCACTTTCTTAGCCTTTCTACCAGAACTAATGGACCATCAACTCATTTCATCTTCACAACAACACTGGTAACAAAATGAGGCATCTGAGGCACTAGCAGTTGAGTCACTGGCCCAGTGTCGCACAAGCACCTTGGTTCTAAAAGATACCCAAACCAGACTTCATACCCACTCTCTGGTAGTGAGAGCTTTGAGTCACCATTTGTGAAAGAACATTCAGGAAGTTGGGGACTCAATCCCCATTAAACCCCAACCTCCTCATCTACACAAAGATGTGATCTCATCACAATGAAGTCCAAACCAGAGCCCACAGCCCAGGCTGTGGGCAGGAGGAATTATGTCATGAACAAGAGCTGCCAGAGGGCCCCACTTGGAGATCGAGGGAAAGAAGCTGACCAGCTGCCATCTTTCCTCTTTCTATCAGGGAAAGGATACTGCTTTTGTAAAATGACACTGATAGTCCCCTCCCCAGGGACTCCATTAGGCTTGGACAAACAGGACATGTTGTGACCTGCCTCCTAGGGTGCTATGCCAGAGAAACAGAACAATTGTTGCCTTTCTGAGGCCAATAAAACTTTAGTTTTTAATAGTTTTGAACTAAATTGAAACTGGCCTGTTGTCAAAATAATCTCTCTTCCCACACACCAAGCCCCTGCACACCCTCAACCCCACCCCTCGTGGCATCCCCAAGGGACAAAGACCAGAGAACTCAAAATGTCCATTGATTGGCACCACAATATCTCTATTCTGGACGGCTTTCTTTCTTTTTTTATTTCCCGTGTCCAGCCTCTGCTTTCTGAACTGATTACCTTGTTGTTCTAACAGAGCATTTTCCCATAGTCTTGGTGTTGTTTCTTTCTGTACACATCTCTTAGTTCTTGTGTGATTCTAGTGTAGAAAAACGTTCACTAAGGAATGTGTGAGCAAGGTTACTATAGCTACCTCACATCACCAAACAACACCCACCCCCTTAAACTGATCTTTAAGACCTTTCTGGGAAGACAGGCTAACAGGTTACGGGCACATTATGAAGGGTTAGAAACTGCCTGCAAAGTCTCTGAGTCACCACAGATCACACAGACCAGCTCGGGAGTCCCACAGCGACACTGGGGTTCCCAAGTACGTCCATCCCCACCCACCTGGGGAGCCAGATAAAACACAGGGGCCTATACCTCTGTGGGGGAAATGCTGTGTGTTTGAGGTAGGCCTCTGCAGTTTTTAAATGCACCGATGTTGATTCTGTTATAGATTCCTATATGGATGGTCCTTTGTCCACACTTGGAAAACACTGGCATCTTCACTGGCTGGCTGGCTCAACTACAGAAACAGCAGCTCCATGGCAGCTTCCAGGGACCCACCAAGTGCATTCTCTGGACCAACACAGCAGCACAGCAGCAGTGTCCCCTTAATCTTCAAACAACCACCCAAGATAGGTAAAGTAGTGTGTTCATTTTTATCCATCATGAAACTGAAATTTGAAGAAATGAAATAACTCACCCAAGGTCACACAACCCTTAAAAACAGGGTAAGCATTCCCCAGCTCAGGTTGTCTGATACCACGGTCTGAAATTCCAGCAGCCTCAGTAGACTTCCTGTGCATTATGCTGGGAGGAATACTCAATTTGGAATTTGATATTTTGCCTTAAAAGTCACATTTATCTCTGCAGTTGGCTCCTCATTTCAGGGAGTCATTTAATAAAGTATAATAAAAGGTTTTGCTCTTCAGAACCACTAGAGAAATTAACAAAACCAAATGTTAATTTGGTGCTTTTTATGTACCAGACTGATTCCATACCTTCAAAATGCCATGATTTTAAAAATTGTCACTGGGAGAAATTCAGTTAAGATGATGATGGACTGGGGCTCCCTGATGGCGCAAGAGGTTAAGACACAGCAGAATGAAGCTATCCATGGCCACTGCAGCAGGGGTTCGATCCCCACCAGGGAGCAACCCACATGGCTCAGCAGACCTCTCCTGTCTCGCCCGCTGCTCCCCTCAGCAGTGTATTTCAGTACCTGTGCCTGTTCTGCTCCCCACTCTGTCTCTAGTGAATCCTCTCACCCCCCACATCTCTGGCCTGCACCCCAGCTCTTGTATGCTTAAATAAATAAATATAAAAAAAAATATGGTCATGGACTGATTTTCAAATTCTTGGGAAATTTAAATTACATCCACCCTTGAAACCTGGAAGAGATAAGATGAGACAAAGTTGTGGGTAGTAAACATTTGGAAACAATTACCTCAAGCAATGGCCTGGAGCGGTGACATCTTGGCAGTTGGCCTAAGCCTGCAGGTGGACATCAGGCAGCAAGGGAGAGATAAGCCTAACTGAAATGGGGGGGAGGAGGGCGGGAAAGGGGTGCCTAAGTGGGGAGTACTCCTTTTTGATTGAAAATGTTTTTGAAAATCCATCTAGAAAGACAAACGCTAAAAAGAATTAAAATAAATGCCAATGAACGTGGTGACATAAATCATTTCCAAATCATCAAACCCTCTATAAGCCCCAGCAGGTTAATTATTCAAGAGAGTAATTAACCTTATATGGCTTCCCTTCCTCTTACAGAGAAAGGCCTGAAGAGGTCTGCAGTGTCTCAGAGCCTGGGGGGTTAATTTTAGAGTGGCCAGAAGGAGGTTCTGTGCTTCAAAAGACAGGGTAGTTTGTCTCATTTCTTAATCGCCAATAGGCCTCTGGGCAGGTTATAGGGGCTGGAAAAGAACAAATCTGAGAGGACATAGTTTTGCATAATAATAAAGCACCAAGTGGAGAGCAAGAATCTGTTGTCCATTTGGAAAAGTTTCTCTTGCTCTCCGTGGACTGAGCATGTGCTGTCCTTGGGAAGAGAAAGCAAGAGAGGGAAAGTGTGTGTGTGTGTATGTGTGTGTGTGTGTGTGTGTGTGTGAAAGAGACAGAGACAGAGAAATACACACACAAAGAAAGAGATCCTTACATTGTCTCCCAGATAATCAAAAAGAAAGAGGAAGCATCTGTCACCACCTCTTTCTTACCCAGGACAGCACCTAGAGTTAGTGCCAAAGCTCAACTGAGACTGTCACACCCAGGCCACCACCTGTCTCTCCCATTGTGTGATTCCTGGTTGAAAGCGCTGGACTTCAAGAAGGGCTCTGTTGTGGGCACTCCAGTCTTAGGACTGCTCTGATGAAGGTGGCTCGTTGGCCGAGATCCATCTGTGAAGGGCTAAGATAAGACTATGACTCCACTTGTACAAAGAAAAAGGTGTTCTTCAAAGGAGGGCTTATCAGAGGATAGGGAGAAGACAAAGATTTGGGGTGCAGTCCCAGTTGGGCTCCCTGTGTGAGGTATAATTTGGGGTGCTTTTTTGGACTGTGAGCATAATCCCATTTAACATTATGATTGACTTTTTCCCCTCCCACTTTATAGTTCCTATTGGTTAATCACAACTGTTCTGTCAAGTCTGGATTATATGGAGCTCTGGGTGGAAGCATAGAGAATAAGGCAAAGGGACTTTAAAACCAAGTGTGCCCTGCCCACTTCAGTCCTCTCTGCTGAGACATCTGTAGAGCTGGGAGCATCTGTGGCAGGAGCTTGTGGCCCAGGGCAAACAGAAGTGATCTGCAGCCAGTGAGTGACAGCAAGAATCCTGGGATCAACTGAGAAGCAACAGCCTCAAGATACAGCTAGAGAATGACAATGCTGGAAAGAGGCTGGAGCTTGTACACTCAGGTAAGGGGTAACTTTAGGAGAAATAAGAGAATGATTGCACATAGCAGGGAGTAAACTTTAAAAAAAAAAAAAGTATTACCCTTACAGGTTGAATATTTAAATAGTTTCAAGAAAGGTTGAGATTAATTTGACTGATAATATTTTAGGGCTGGAAAGGGACCCAGGGATCATCTAGTTCAGTAGTTCTTAACCCCTGCTGCACATTTCATTGATTTTGAAAAACCAATGAATGGCAATCTCTGGGGTGGGATTTTGGCATCTAGGTTTTGGAGATTTTTACTCTTTATTTTGAAGTTAGAGGAGGTTGTGAAAATAATACATAAAGTCCTGTGTACCCTTTATCCAGTTTCCCTCAATTATGAGTGACATCTTAAATACCTATAGTACAATGTCAAAATCAGGAAGTCAGGACTAGTATAATGCTGTTAAGGAATATAGGTCTTATTCAGCTTTCAACTTTTTATATGCATGCTGGAGGTGGGCCTGGGGGTTACCATGATATAAGCATTAGTGTT